CACAGTAAAAACTATCGATAAATCAGCTCACTTTTTGACATTTTTTTTCTACGTGCTGCCTTAAAGAACCTATTTAAAAGCTTCTAACAGCGCGAAGAATATTAGTAGAACTTAACATGTATGTCAGCAGTTGATAAAATCAAAATCACAAAGAAACACGAAATTTAGCAAGAAAACACTAAATATTGGTTTCACTGTCATATGAGTGTATGAGATATTTTTGTACTTTTCTCAATGAATTCTCATCCTATAAGGCTGAAAATTTCAGAATAAGCGTATCAATCGAAGATCTATCTGTGGTATAAAAATGAGCCCGAAAGACAATAGTAGAAATAAATAACTGAAAAAAACAAGGTGTTCCGTTTATTTTGGCCAGGGGAATATATGTTTCTTCTTATGTATGAGGGGAGTTGTTGTATCCAGGAGCGAGGTGTGATCCAACTGCTCCATCTTTTTTTTTTGTTGTTATTTTTTCTTTTGGACGTTTGAATAAAATCAGATTTAACATTTAAATCTTTCTTTTATTTTTCCCACTATCTCGCCCCTAGGCAAATCGGAACGATGCACTCGAGCGTTGCCGTGTTGAAGAAGGACATCTTTTCGGCGGATCAGCGTCGGGTAGCGCTGCTTCAAGATGTTGTAGACACGCTCCAGTTGCTCGCTGTACAGCTCGGCATTCACGGCTCGATCATCAGGAACCAATTCAAAGTGCACAACGCCATCGACATTCCACCAGACGCACAACATAACTTTCTTGCCGGAACGATCACGATTGACCAAGAAAACCCACTTTTCGTCGCTTGTCACAATGCGCTTCCAGAACCAATCGTCCAACGGATTGTCGAGCAGTTGGCGGCAGACTTCCAGACGTCGTAGAGCTTGTGCTTCAGTGAGTTCGTGAGGATCTTGCCGTGGCTTCTTGTGAACAAAATCAAACTTGTGCAGGTAATTGACAACGGTCTGCTGCGCAACTCCAAGTTCATCGACCAAATCGCGAGTACTCGATGACGGCTCGTCTTCCAAAGCGGCACACAGATCCTCTTCGTCCAGAAGAGATGGTCGGCCAGAACGGGGCTTGTCTTCGAAGTCAAAATCGCCATCATCGAATCGGTGGAACCATTTTATCGCGGTAGTTTTCCCGATCGTTCCTTCACCTTCTACTTTGCAGATTTCGGCAGCAGCAGCTCTTGCAGACAGGCCTTTCTTCCAATAGTGGCAGAGTAAAACACGAATTTCAAAATCATTCATCTAAATTAAAATGATGAAAATGAAATTACAAAATTTACACAAGAATAGCTAACTGTTATCGACGACGACTGTCGTCGCTATCGTTTTTTTCTCCTCTGCATCACAGCACTTTAGAAATATTCTTTTCGCCTCGTGTTCACATAGTCTTCTGTGTCATTTCGCTTCACATGTTGTTTTCGAGAATGAATGCCGTCTGCGATACCATTCTTTCTCTCTGTTCCTCTTTCAGACATATGTATGTATTTTATTCTAGAGGACTCGGTCTTTTGTATTTTTTGCTTTCTCTTTCTTATCGACTCATGATGCATGATGCGTTATTTCAAAAATGTGATCATGCATCACATTTTTTGCTTCTTTTTTTCTCTCCTACATATACACTATTCTTCTTGGATTTTTTTAGCCCTTTTTCCTTTTTTTTATCATTCTCCTCTTTTCCACATACACACCATCTATCAGCCCTACAGACAGGCGAACACTAGCACACGAGAGATACACAAGTTTTAAAAATGAAACACAAAAAACTTTAAAAGTAAACTTAAAAAAATTAAAATTTTTGCAAGTGACCGTGAACTTTTTAGTCAACCTAATAGTATCGTTATATTATCACAACAAAAAATGAATGATTTACAGTTATTTAGTGGTAATAAGGTGATGCTTCAAAGTAAAAAATGTCGAGAAACAATTTGCATCGTTCATGCTGATAATACCTGTCCAAATGATCGTATTCGAATGAATCGTGTTGTACGAAATAATTTACGCGTACGTTCAAGTGATATTGTTTCAATTCAAGGTTTACAAGATGTTCAATTTTGTAAACGTATATATGTTTTACCTATTGATGATACTGTACAAGGAATAACAGGCAATCTATTGAAAGCTTATTTAGAACCATATTTTGCTGAAGCTGATCGACTAGTACATGAAGGTGATGTTTTTATTGTACATGCAGCTATGCATGCTATAGAATTTAAAGTTATTGAAACTAAACCAAGTCCGTATTGTATTGTTACATCACGTACAATTATTCGTTGTGGTAGTGATCCCATTAAACGTGAAGAAGAAGAAGTATCTTTAAATGAAATTGGTTATGATGATATTGGTGGTGTTAGAAAACAATTAGTACAAATTAAAGAAATGGTTGAATTACCATTGAAACACCCACAATTATTTAAAACAATTGGAGTTAAACCACTACGAAATATTCTTTTATATGGACCAACCGGGCACAGGTATGATAAAAATAATAGAAATATTTTTAGAAAAAAGAAAAAGAATTATTTTAGGTAAAAGTTTAATTGCACGTGCAGTGGCTAATGAGATTGGTGCATTTTTCTTTTTAATCAATGGACTGGAAATTGTGTCTAAATCAGCTGGTGAATCTGAATCGAATTTACGTAAAACATTTGAAGAAGCTGAAAAGGTAAAATTTTATTAGTGAAAATTCGAGGAATAGTTCGGAGGTGACAGATGCGGACATTCATATAACGTGTCCAATAGATAGTCATCCGACATTTTGAGATTAGTTCCATTATAGACATTAAATTTTCACTCAAATATTTTTTAATTATTATTGTATATTTATGTTTAGAATTCTCCAGCTATTATTTTCATTGATAAGCTTGATGCAATTGCACCAAAACGTGAAAAAACTCATGGTGAAGTTGAACGTCCTATAGTTTCACAATTATTAACATTAATAGATGGTCTTAAACAACGTTCAAATGTGATTGTTATGGCAGCAACAAGACAACGAAATTTGATTGATCCAGCAGTTCGTCATTTTGGTTGTTTCGATCGAGAAATCGATATTGGTATTCCTAATGCTGTTGATCGTTTAGAAATTCTTCGTATACATACAAAAAATATGAAATTAGATGGTGATGTTAATCTTGAACAAATTAGTAATGAAACACATGGTTATGTTGGTGCAGATTTAGCATCATTATGTTCAGAAGCTGCTTTACAACAAATTCGAGAGAAAAAGCATGTTATTGATTTAGAAGAACATACGATTGATGCGGAAGTACTCAATTCATTAGTTATTACACAAGAAAATTTTCGATTTGCATTAAATCAATCAAATGCACCAGCTTTACGTGAAATAGCTGTTGAAGTACCAACAACAACATGGGAAGATATTGGTTGTTCAGACCATGTTAAACGTCAATTACAACAACTTGTTGAATACCCTTTTCAACATCCAGAAAAATTTCTCGAATTTGGTACGACGCCATCACGTGGCGTTTTCTTATATGGACCACCTGGTTGTGGTGAGTCACTAGAATTATAAATTTTTTAAAATTTATCTTTTGATATTTGATTTTAGGTAAAACATTATTAGCCAAAGCTATTGCTAATGAATGTCAAGCTAATTTTATTTCGATAAACGTTCTTGAATTGTTAAGTATATGGACTGGTGAACCAGAAGCTAATGTTCGTGATGTATTTGATAAGGCTCGTCAAGCAGCACCATGTATACTCTTTCTTGATGAATTAGATTTAATTGGTAAGATAAAAAGAAAATTAATGAAGAGTACGTTTTTTTTCTTTTTGGTTAAAGCTCATGATGAGAGCGGTAGATATGGTGGTGATGCAGCTCATCGTGTTGCTAATCAAATTTTAATTGAAATGGATGGTATGAGTGCAAAGAAAAATGTTTTTATCATTGGTGCCACTATTGGATGGGATATTATTCATCCAATATTTTTTAAAACAGGTAAAGATATATATCTTCATAGCACGGACAGTGGATTTTTCATAAACTTTTTTATTTATTCAGGTCGTTTCGATCATTTAATTATTATTCCATTACCCGATGAACAATCGCGCTTAACAATTTTTAGAGTTTGTTTAAAAAATTCACCTATAGCTGAAGATGTCGATTTTCATTATTTGGTTAATAAAACGAACAAATTTACTGGTTCTGATTGTTAGCGTCAACAGATGACACTAGGTCGACGCTAACTTATTTGAGCGAAGTTCAATCGTTTCCTTCCTCTTATTTTCTCATTTGTCGGTGTCTTCCTTTTCGTTCTGTAGTTAATGAGATTTTTCTCTTTCGTTCATCCTATAGTTAGATTTTTCTTTTTCGTTCTGTCTTTCTCTCTCTTTCGGATTTTCTCAGAATTTGGTCCAGTTCAGTTGTTATTTTGTTTTGGTGGAGAGCAGTAGCATTTAATACTACCTCTCTTGTGTGTGTTTTTCCTTAATGAAATAAATTATCCATCTAAAAACGATCTTACATCCCCTCCTCAACTGATCACGTAGCTTTGAACATCAAGGTAAGTCCCCTTATCTTCTTTTATAACATAATCTATAATGTTGACCTAACACTGATATCAAGGATATCTGCTTAAGAACAGATCAATTAGCTGCACGCGAATTTATCGAAAAAAAACAAGAACATATAAATCAAACAACAACAGATTCAACAACATTTAATCAATCATGAAAAATTAGCCACTGCCATTTCGACAAAGTTATTAGTACTGCTATCTCATCAGTCGCAGACGATGAGATAAAGAAGTTTGAAATGGTTCGCGAGCGGCTTGGGGCATTCTACGTTTTCAAGCCACAATCATTTTACTGATTTTGGAACTTGAGTTTTAATTTTTTTTTTTAATAAATATTATAAAAACATACAATTGTCTTTTTAATTTCAATCTGAATACAGAAGAAAAAAAGGCACTTGATTTAAACTTGAAATCAGGGACTACGAAAGAACATTGAAATGATTATAATGCATTGATTGATTGACTGTTTTAAAAATGTATATTTAACAACATCTATATCCAATCAATCAGCTCACAAAGTCATCTTGCGCTTCAGTTTCAAAACTTGAGCAACTTGTTATTAATCGTATATAACTTATATCGATCAAATTTATCAATGATCTATAATCCGAATCATGAAATGGTTAAAAACAGAGGAACATAGTACAAAAAGAGAGTTTTCACCACAATTAAATAGTACACCACCACCAAAGAAAAAAATAAGAAATGATGGAATATCAACTTTACCAACTCCACTATCGTCCAGTGAATATTCATCTGCTGCAACGAAAATGATGGTAAGACATCTTATATATTGTAGATCGGAATATTTCAACTTATTGATTCTATTTTAGGAAAAAATGGGTTATGATAAAAATCGTGGTCTTAGTCTTAATGCTCAAGGTCCAACAAAAATAATTGAAGAAAGTAAACAAAAAGGACGTCGTGGTCTTGGTTTTACATTCAAAAACTTTGATGACGAAACAACAGAATGGGACTTTGATAATGATCCCGTAAATACAAAGTTCATGCATCTTTCTATTGATATTTTATTTGATATTTTTAGGCTCCTATAAAAGAAGAAGAAGAAGAAGTTCGTTGGCGTCCACTAAATAATCATATAGAAGTTCCATTAAATCTCGATGAAATGCGCGAATGGATTAAATCCAGTTTTTATGGAAATCTAATGTGAATCTGAGAAGTCGATTTTCAAATATAACTTGATCTAGTTTTATCTATCCACTAGTATCAATGAAAAATTGTTAGTCCATTCTCCATAAGATCGATACATCAATCATAATGGAATTCTTTATACTGTCAACAAGCAAGGGGGAAACAGCTGATTCTGACCGATGGAATCAGCAGGAATCACTAAAATCTCCCCAATCGCTCGAAATCAGTAGAATGATTAGAAATCTCTTAAAATTAATATGGCATCCCTTAAAACTATAGAGAATCAATGCGGAATCGTAGAGCCTCCTGAAATTCTCGTGAGCCACACAAAACCACTTGGAATCAGATAGAAACAATGTAAAATCTCTCAAAGTTTCCTAGAATCAAACAGATTCAAGGTAGAATCACTCTTATTCATTTTTATTTTGTCTGTCTATATTTGGAAACCTATACCATAAATGACACTAAAATCGTATGTTATGTGGATCAACCAAAATGGAGAAATAGACGAAATAAAAATAATTTAAAGTGATTCTACATTGCATCTGAGCAATTGTGGGTACTATCAAATGATTCTGTTGTCGAAAAG